GGGGGGGGGGGGGGGACGTAAAGAGGAAAACCCTATTGGACAATTAGGCGGAGACTTTTAACTAGGTACACTGATCACCTCTATTTTTGTTTTCACTGAATGAAAAGGGCTCTTCAGAATGAGGGTGTGATGTTCTTCCTTATGAAGCTCTTTTTGTTTCTTTGATTTGTTATTTAAGGGATCTTTCTGATTGTGTTTTTTCGCGTGAAATCTGAGGTATCAATTGCGATGCTCTAGGTTAAAAGCAGAAAAGTTCTCATCCATACTGGCATAAATCCCAAGTCCATAGGTGTAGACGGTTGAATAAGACTCATTTAAGGAAGGAAGCTAGTATGAGTTCTACTAGTTATCGCCTTTTGCAATGTGTTGTTTGAACTGCATGACTGGGCTTCTCACATTGCTGTTTCAGACAGAAGATTGCTTTTCCCTTCCAGTTCTGTTTCTTGCAAAATTTTATTTGTAGGTAACTAGCGATGCTTGCTTTAGGATGTTTCGATTTAAAAGATGCATGAATAGACTTACATATCAATATTGCAAATCACAGCAGTCAAAGATAATATCTATGCAGAAGTATATCTATAGGTTAAGCTGTCCTGTGTATAAGCTCAGTAATGTAATCAAATACATTCTTGTTGAACCCTTTGTTTTCTACTGCCCCTATACTTTCAAATTGTTCAGCCTCAGCTTGTGGATAAAATTGTCGAAATAGGTTGCATCTGTATCCTTGTGATATCCTCAAGTTGATCTTTTTCTTAGTTGCTCGGCTATGTGGATAAAAGCCGAATTGGGTTAATCTGCTAATCACCAGTGTACTACGACTCGACCTTTTGTTAGATAAATTTCAACTCTGCATGATTTAGTTTCAACTCGACCAGTGTACTTCTTAGTGCATGATTCAAATCTGTATAGTTATCTTATTTTTTTCCATGACAATTTTGTTGGCTGGGTTTCTCTTACTTCAAATAAATGCACTAAGAAGATGAAAAAGAGTTTGTATAAGTTAATCATCTCCAAGACATAGCAATTGTGGAGTTGTGGTAATTTTAATTCCTTCTCTTTGATCTATGTTAGCACTGGTAAACAATTTTTCCCTGTCACCTTTATGCGTTTCCTTTTTATAGTTGGATAGTTGAAGTTGTGAAATTGTTAATGTTGCTGAATATATTTTGATCTCCCAATGTTGTTACCTTGACATGTAGTTGTAGTTTTCCAAAATATTTAATCATGAAGGTGTGTCATTTCAGAGGTCATCTCAAATCACCATGGTCCCGTAGAAAAAGAAAACATGTTCTTTCACCCCTACAGTGGAGAAGCTTTTTTACACCTGATGGAAAGCTTCGTAATGGAGGAGTTAAATTTCTAAAGAAAGTCCGAAGTGGAGTGAGTTCCTGCACCTTGAAATTTGAGAATCACATTTTCCATCCATGTACTCCTATTTTACATATTGAAAGGGTAATAAAACTATTAATGTTTGTTTGAAAATGTGAAAGGGAAGGGAAGCAAAATGAAGGGACTGAATAGAGGGAGTCTATAAGAAAAATGATTTTCTTTCCTTTATTTGGTTAAATGTGAAAATAACACCGTATTCTTTTGTTTGAAGTCCAAAAGAAGAAGGGAAATGGTGAAAGTGTAGATTGCTTTACTTATCAAAATTTCTGTAGATTTCTCCCTTCTAAAAGGGAAAGAGAATCTTGTGGGGCACCTTTGTCCAAATCTTTTTCCTCTATTGTCAAACCTAACAACACAAAATTTTACCATATTCCTTTCTTTCTCTTCCTTGCTTTCCATGCAAAGGGTGGGTTTGTTTACTTAACTTGTCTCTCTTATGCAGGGAGTTGATCCAAGTATCAGGGCGGAGGTTTGGCCATTCCTCCTTGGGGTGTAAGTTTTTTTCCCTTTCATACTGGTTTCTCGTATTAAGATTGGCATGGAATTTGGTTCATTCCACACACCCTTTCCCCTTTTCGCTTCATTTTGGTGTCCATTTTAGTTGCTTTATTTTCTAGGAGATGGCGGAGTTCCGTTTTCCAGATAGATGACATTAAAGTTCCTATGAGTTCTCTGAATTAATTCGTTTACATAGTAAGTGAGATCAATACTGCAGTTATTCTACTTGATCTTTTTAATGAATCCTCTTGTGGACCTGTGTTTACATATTGTAGGCTCCTTGTTTTCTATTGATCTATTATGTTAGGGTTGTTTGCTATGGAAGATTATATGATTGAAATTAATCTCTGCTCACTAAATATGAATAAAACTTTGTTCATAGGTGATTTGGTGGGTTCTGTATTGCTTTTGTCCCTTTCGATCATTGCTGAGAAAGGACAGGCTCTATATAGCTTCTCTTTTTTTAATAACTTGATGAAGTGATGGGAAGACAATATTTTTGGAGGGCTCGCAGAGCAATTCCGCTGGCCTTTGCATTTCTATACTTACTTCATAACTCAAGTTTTATACCGGTGAAGTCTTGGGTGAGCACTGATAATTATTCTTTATGTGTCTTTGCAGCTATCACTTGGACAGTTCCAAAAAGGAAAGAGATACTATAAGGAAAAAGAACAGGTACTGTTGTCAAATTCATCTGCTCTACCTGGACCAAAGTGTCTACAGGAAAATCCTTTTAATCTGTCTTTTCAGTTGACGAGTCATAATCACCTTTCTATTATTTATAGTTCAAATTTATATTTTGACTCCATAGTCCATACTCCTTATTGGTGCATAATATGTGAATGCAGAAAGGAATACCAGAGACTTCGGAGAAAGTGCTGCCAACTGCTGAAACGCAATGGTGAAACCTTTAAAATAAAAGACACTGGTGGAATTGGAAGCAATGGACATAGTGGAAATCTCATTGAAGGAATGGATTTCCCTGACTATGAAGATGTTGTTAGTGCCCTGGAATCCCTCTCTAGTGGGGAGAGGAGCCCATATATTGAAGATTCTGACAATCAGGGCGGTATAATATTGGAAGAATTTTCCAGTTCCAAACGAGTCATGGAGCCAAATGATGTCTCTGATTCTGAGTCATCGGATTCTGATTCTTCTGCAGATCATGATGTCAGTTATACTTTCCCCTTGTTAGGAAGCATGAACGAGAATACATCTGAGGTGCCTTCTAAGGGCACTTCTCCTTCGAAGACAGAAGTCCAGCCAGAGCCCTGCAATGCAGAAGATTATGCGACATGGCAACGAATAATTCGGGTTGACGCAGTTCGTGCTAATGAAGAATGGATAGCATATTCCCCAGCTCAGGGGGGAGGAGTATCAGATGACCGGGCACGCTGGTCTGCGCAAGCCGTTGGATTGAAGGACTATGATCACCTAGAGCCCTCAAGGATCTTCCATGCTGCTCGGTTAGTTGCCATTCTTGAGGCATATGCGCTCTATGACCCTGAAATTGGCTATTGCCAGGGAATGAGTGATTTGCTTTCACCCATTATTACTGTGATGACAGAGGACCATGAAGCTTTTTGGTGCTTCGTCGGTTTCATGAGGAAGGCTCGACATAACTTCAGGCTTGATGAGGTTGGAATTAGGAGGCAGCTAAATATTATTTCTAAAATTATCAAACATAAGGATTCACATCTCTATAGACACTTAGAGAAGCTCCAAGCAGAGGATTGCTTTTTTGTGTACAGGATGGTGGTAGTGCTCTTCAGGAGGGAATTAACTTTTGAGCAAACACTCTGCCTATGGGAGGTAATGTGGGCAGACCAGGCTGCTATTAGGGCAGGGATTGGGAAGTCTGCATGGAGTAGGATTAGGCTGCGAGCCCCACCAACAGATGATCTATTGCTTTATGCAATTGCAGCATCTGTATTACAGAGGAGGAAACAAATCATTGAGAAATATAGTAGCATGGATGAAATTTTAAGGGAGTGCAATAACATGGCTGGTCATCTTGATGTATGGAAGCTACTAGATGATGCCCATGATTTGGTGGTCACTCTCCATGACAAGATATAGACACCTTTGTTATAGTGCCTTCCAAGATTTTATACCACTAATTTATTCTCATTCAAAATTCAGCATTCCTGAATGGGTGCTCTTCAAGTCGTCACATTTTTGTGGCGAGAAAGGACAGTCTACCTGACAAGTCACAACACTCTGTTGCTGCTTTTTTTGGGTCAGAGCTCGTACATTCTGAAGTTGGGAAACATCCATAACTCAACTCTGCCGGGTACTAGTACTGCTATTTGCTCGGTTTCAGTGTAGCCATTATTAGAAAGCCTATGTTCCAGACTGGCTACCATGCGCAATATATATCTTTTAAGTTCTCATGTTTAACCCTTATAGTTATAGGGTCTTTCTAATAGGAAAACTAAAGTGGAGATGTTGTGCCCATTGCCCAACTTCCTTAGGGACAAGGAGTGGGGTGAGGGGTGGGAGTGGATTTGAATTGGTTGGTTTTGACTTTTGAGATGCACAGAATTGTGGTTTTTAATGTGTTGAACAACCGCTATATCTTGCAAGGCAGAAACATTGAAAGCCTTGTACAGTTTGACATTGTTATCCCTTTTACGGGCAACTCGGCATACCTCAAATCCAGTGGCAGAACATCTTCTAGAGCTCTTACAGCGCCTACATGAAAAGACCACCAGGGCCAAGCTTCCAAATGTGCAAACTGCATGAGCAATTAATCTCACTATATTAGTAATCCTTCACAATTTCCAGCCAGAGTAGCTTCAGATTATGTTTGAATTCTAACTGCAACACTTTGCATCTACACCAGTTTTGGTGGGTAGGATTACCTTGGTTACATTTAATTGTAGGCTGGATAGACTGTTTAGTGAATTGGCTGAGTTGTACACCAGTTAGTTTAGACACTTGATGTTCTTAAAAAATCAGGTATAAATGATGTGTGAGAAAATGAACTCGTTGCTTGCCAGTCTTATCGCAAATAATGTCGGGTTAAAACATCATAATATTTGTTGGTCCTATCTACGTTTTCTCCCGATTACACATTAATATTGTCATACTGAATTGAAATCAAATATTTAGAGAAATTGAAAGCTGCAGTTCGGGGCTCTAATTCTCAAGATGCATGGAGGCAAATATACTACCAAAGTAGCCCCAATAATGCCCTTAACGGTTAGAAGAGCCATTTTACGTCCATTCTAATGAAGTTGTCTTGGCGCTAAAGGGTAAAGGCTGGCATGTGGCAAGTAACTCTTTTTCATTCAAAGGGCATGGGCAGAGATCATTTTCTAATTTCAAACATAGCTTTCGAATCAATAATAGGCTGTCTACAGCTGACTTCTAGGAGAGACTGTTATAGTGCAGAAATTATTCAAAATGAAGAAGGGTGTATCTCAAATATCATCATAAACATAAGCCAGGTAAAGTTCAATGTTTACAGGATGCACTACAAATGGCCACTGTGCAACTCATACAAAGTACAATAAATCAAGTTCAGATATTGCAGCTCCATAATGAACTATAAACCGGGTGTTTCATTTGACAACTACATAAGTGTTCTGACAATCCAAATTAGAACGCAAAGGATTTACTTCTCCTTGGTGTAGTGTCGCACAACAAAGGTTAAGCCCAAAATCAAGAGGGGCACAAGGAACTGCAAGATTTTGATAACGAATTCCGGAGTCTTGTCTGGATTGTATGGGGCTTGTTGTGGTGGGACATAAGCACATTTCAGGGGAACTGTTGATGTATCAATTTCTCCAATGTAATATTTATCCATCATCTTTCTAGCATCATCACTGTGGCCGACATCTTCAAAGTCATTAGTTGCATCTTTCCCTGTCAGACAATCAAAATTTCAGAAACCAACGCATAGAGAAAGCCTTTATCTACAGTTAGAACCAAGATAAACTGTGTGAAATACCTGTTGCTGAAAGCAAAACTTCATCACCACCTGGATGATCTTCCATGAATGGAGTCACATCATACACCTAGAGAGCAACACCACGACATAAATCAATATTTGTATTAAGGAAGGAGAAAATAAGAACTTGGATCCTTAAAAGGAAAAATATTGGAAAAGATATGAGTAGGTGTATAACAACTGGAAGTATCCAAGAAAAATATTAAAGAAGAGATAGAGAGACAGCGTAAGTAGCTTAAAGCAGAATGTCCATTGTCGCATCCTTTAGGTGCTCCTCAGAGTTATGCTTGTAATAGCACTGAGTAGGAAACTGCTTTCTAACTTTCCATACCTGACTGGCTAGTAATAAAGTTGAAGAAGTAACTAGTGTATCAGATGTAGGTCTTTCTTTTGCTAATCAGATGCAAGTGAAATTTATTTTATTAAGCTCAACATCTGTTCCTCAAATGAAATTAAAGGACCCTTGCTCGACGAGGTTACTCTATGTTTCCTTAAACTTGCCAAAACTGCTAATTGGAATTCAAGAACGGGCAGGGGAAGTCAGGTTAAGACATTTTGCTTCACTAGCATAATGTAAGTCTGATGTACCTTTGCATAAAGCATACTCCTATAAAGTTTTCACCTGTGTCAGAAGTTGAGTCACTGAGATACATGACTGAACATGCTTCATGTGGCTAGAGATTTTCTTCTTTGAATCACCAGAACATTGGAAGTTTGGAACATGTCACTTCGTCTTTTAACATTCAAAGCTATTTGGTGGAGAATGGAATCAAGAAGAAAATAACCAAAAAACCAGCTGAAGGAATGGAATGGCTCATTCACACCACAAGGCTAAAATGAGACATAAAATGTCTCTAAGCTTCAGATGTATATCCACTTATAACGATGTGAAAGTATGTATAGGTTTTGCTACAAATTCATCAATGTAACGAGTTTGCCATCATAATATGTGATACCAGCCATTTTTCTTTCTTTGTTTTGTTTGTTGTGGGGGGGTTGATACTAGCCACTTATTGTCATAGCAACAGTCATTGCCAAAATCTATCAGTGCAAAAAATAAAAAGAACACTGGATTTATCCACCTCTGCATAAATTTCACCACGTACCTGTTTCTCCCACCAGTACAGGTACCGGGTAACTCTGCCCACCAGGAAGAAATCGTCAATTTAAAGTTCAGTTGTTTATCTCTACTATCAACCTCTGATGTTCTAAACTGCTAATTTCTCTGGGACAAGTCACTTACCTAGACACCTGCCTTTTCTTCCCAGCCCCGAGGGAAACCTTCCAATTTATGTTACTATGATAAACATTAAGCATTTGATACTGTTACCTTTCTCAAAAGAAAAAAGATAAATCTTAAGTATTTGAAGAAAAAAGTTATTACTTTGTCTAATACTATCAACTTCTTTGTCTATGTCTTAGTTTCAGAATTCAACTCTTCAACTAACACTATTAGCACCAAATGATTGCACAGTGGCAGATCCACGTTAAGAAGTGTGGGGCACGTGAACCCATTCTGCTTGCAAATAATGTAAATGTCCTGTGTAATTTTTGAGGCGTTTTGCTATATGGTGCTGTTGGCACCCATGGTCAAGATTCAGTGTTGGTGCCTTGGTTCGAGACCGTATGGTCTTGTAAGTTATTTTTTGTTTTTAGCTTCCTTTTCTTCTTATTGTACGTTCTACTTTTTCTATTCTCTCTTTTGTCCTTTTTTTTAAAAAAAAAAATCTTTTCTTTCTCTCCATGATTGCATTAATTCTCCAAGACTTCATGGTAAACAACAAATTAAGGATTCAAAGATTAGCTATTAATTACTTCAAATAGAGATTTGTTTCTATCTTGAACCATACGCAATATAGATTTGTTTTTTTGTAAGTAATTCACATAAAAAGAATTAGTGATATGCTCTAAGATTTTCGCACTTCGGCATTAAATTGTCATTAGCAATCTAATTTCCCTATTTATTTTGAATTTTGATGGCAAGAACTGAATAAGTTGAGACAATTCAACTGATGATTCATCTATTTAATGGACAAAACGAAAATAAAACAAAACCCATCAAGAATAATACTACTACTGATTATTTATTTGACAGGATATAAAATGAACAGGACGGACTAATAAAGATCTAACCTTTCCGCTGATGATAAGCCAACAATCTTTGGTCTTGTTGTGTTTGGCAACCTCCTCAAATACATGTACTTTCTGATTTGAACCCATCTCTTCCCTGCTACTGCACACCCAAATTCACCTCAATTACGTTAAACGAAGTTGATAGATTTTGCATAAGTGGAATTTCTATAAACTTAGAGGACTTTATTAAAGATGTCGGATTTTCCAAATCTAAACAATTGTTCACCGAACACCTTTGAATTGAATATAAACATGCATATATAGATGTGCATATGTTGAAGAGAAGAGAAATGCCCTTGAAATTATGATGTCGTTCCACGCCCATTGTTATGGACTCAAGTGTGCCAACCGGTAACCGGTGGTAGTTAAAAGTTGGACAGTACAGTACTAATACTTTGAATTATGACAGCTTTGACACCACTTTTTCTGGTTTTCTACACCTTTGGTTCTTCAACTTTCTCCAAATGGGTGCCTTTTGTCTTGTTGGTTCCTTTTGGGATTTCTTTTTGTTGCTTTTGGGTTGTTACGTAAGCGAATTTATACAGTTGGAAATTCGAGTCATAACATGCGAGACATGAAATTGTTTTATTTTAAGTGTATTTTTTATTTTTAATTACTCTTATGCTCTTATTTTATGTTATGCGTAAAATAATACCCAAGTTCTCGCATAACTTATATGGATATAAGTTTAATGAGACCAACCAAATATTGTGTTAAGTAATATGGTATTAATTTCTCTACGATTAACTAAATAATAATAATTTATGTGAAATTTTGTATTGTGATAATTATTTTTAATAAGGCAAACCAAACGACCCGTAACTATTCTCCTAATCCATATTGTCTTTCAAGATTTTTAGACACATATAAGAAATACAATTAGAAACGTTAATTATGAGAATATTTTTCTAACATGCCTTGTACCTCTCTCTTAAATGTCTCACTTAATTTACACTATATGAATTTGCAAAAGAAATAATAAATGACTTTTTTTTTTTAAAATTAACAATTTTGAACAAATTCAACTTTCCAAAACTACTACTAATATTTAGTACCAAAAGAAGTACCATATTATTTAGTTACTTTTTCCATGGTTAAATTTTTAATTTTACCGCTTCATTATTAGTTATGATCGAAATTTTAAAATACTATATATTTTTAATATTATAATATGTAAATATAACCTATGAAAAAAGATGGTTAGAGAGAAAGATGAACATGAAAATTAAGCTTGTCCGGGTTGACCTCTTAAAAGTTAAAAATGGAACACGTAATTACTTATTAGCATCTCTTTTATAGAGAAGCTACTCTCAATCGTAACGACTCTAAGAAATTAAATGCCAATCGGATTTATAGATGTGCAATCCCAAAAAAAAATAAAAGTGTATATATATAAATGCACCCCTCTTCCATACGACGAAAGAATATTTTTATGTGATTAGGAATTCTCCATCTACGTTGAAGTGAAGTACAATGAATTTAAAGAAACAAATTACATGAATATATACAACTCCAATGGGTTATTGTAAATAAATTAACAACCACCATGAAAGTAGTCAGATTACAAGAGGGTGTGTATTTGTAAAATTTTGAAACACTTCATATTCGAATCGCCAATCAAATCGACAATTTTCTCATTCAAACTTTGATCACCAAGAGTTATTAGATGACAAAACAGATCATTTTGGTGTAAACTTCTAAAAAGTCTCGTGCTTAGAAAATATTTACATAAATATCCTTCATTGATTTTATAAAATATTTTTTAATAATCTAAGGTTTACGCCCGCTGGAATGAATAGATTCTGTGGCTCTACAAACCACCCACTTTCCATTGAAAATGATGGCATTGCCATTAGAATATATAATTTCATTTGCCCATTGAAGCCTGTTTTCCCTTCTTCTTTTTGTTCTTTAATTTCCTCCTACTTTCAGGTTAGTCAATATTCAAATACATATTATCCACGTCTAGTCCCTTAAACACTCTTCTTATATAATGTTCAATAGGGAGATTGACATTTGTGTACTGGAATATCAATTCATATCCTCGAAATATTGATCGATTTTTATACCCTTAAATATTTGTATAATTTAAGGATCTAATTGTAAATTACTAAGTGATGAAATTCTTTTTCGATTTAAACTATATATATGCGTTGAATACGTTCTTCGTCTTACCCACCCAACTGACACACATGTCAATTATCTACAACCACATGCATGAAACCCAACTCAATCTCATAATAATGATGGTTACAACCTGGTAACTTGCACGATATACATAAAAAAATCCAAAAGAACGTGTGATGTGAACAACCTTGGATACCAAAATTATAGATGGACATCGTCGTTGATCGGCGTCGTGGAGGGTCGGCCGAGAAATAACGTGGATCATTTTTGGGACAACGAGAATAACCGAAATTTATAAAGTTTTTAAAGTTCAACCGTCTCAAAATACTTGGATTTTTAAGATACCTCCATAATTTTCTTTTAAAAAAAATTGATGTTCCTAATTACATAAAATTATTGTCGTCTAAAGCACCACAAAACCTCCTGCTCAAGCCTAGATGTGAGGGGCAATCCAGAACGTGTGCATGGAACAGCAGGTAGAGTCGAACTTGGAGTCCACTCTTTATATTTGTTTAGTTTTGCACGTCAATATCCATATAAAAGTAAATATTTGTTACGTGTACGCTTGATATTTGGTTCTCCAGTTTTTATAGGACTTAAATTTATTGTATGAACATGCAGAAAAAGAATAAGCTAAATGTTCCTATAAAATAAGTTATTGTTCCACATAATTCATCTAGTACTTTTTACAATTTCAATTGAAAAAAAAAGGAATTTTATTTCCTTCTAAACACAAGTTTACTTGAGATTAAAGATTGAACATTGTGTACGGTCAAAACCGATTTTCAGTCATAAAGACCGGTCGAGACAATGACGTTTCGATCGAAGGGTATCTGCATGGCAAGCTCGGACGAATTCCGAAGTAGAGACGTCGAGCTTCGAGCTATAAGACCAATCAACGGCAAAACTCGATATCATTATCGAGCCCGTATCCGAATCGGACTATGGGGCAACGCCGATCGACACAGGCCCCGAATATCGATGCTCCAAGGCAGAACCAAGCTCGAACTAAGACTGGGGATTCGATCTAGCGCCAAGCTCGAGCATGTATCTCCTCAAGGGTCTCCTTCCGAGACCTACACTTAGCAAGTTCGGCAACCCAATGAGCTCGAGTATCGGCGGTCTTCACCGCTTCCCGGGCCTCCATCTGAGTAGCCTCAGCATCAGCCCGATATACAGCAATGGACTTGTCCGCCAAGACTTTCGACGACTCAACCTCCGCCTTAGGCTCAGCAAGTCGTGTTTCAAGCTTCTCAATCTTCTTAGATTGAACCGACCCCTTTTGCTTGACACTTCGAAATTGAATGTCGGCAGATAATAATTTTGTTAAGATGGTTTCTTTTTCCGCTGCCAGGCAGTCGAGGGTCTCCTTCCACCGATTGCATTCTGCTCGAATTTGATCGACCTCTTCTCGAAGTAACCCGATCTTTTCGATCTTTTGCTGCAACTGAGACAATGAAGGGTTAACTTCCACGGTTGAGTCAGACCCATACTTTAACATAACGAGGCTCACCTGCTTATCGAGCTCGACCCCTTCTTCATGGACCTTAGCCAAATCCGCTTTGGAGGTCCTTTATAGCCTCGTCCTTTTGGCCGTAAAGAAGCCGCAGGGCATCTCTCTCACCTGAGACCTTCTGGAGCTCGGCCTCACACTGGCTAAGATCGACTCGAAACCTACTAATGGCCTGCAGAGTAAGAAACACGAGTCAAGTATGGAAAAGAACAAAAAAACCAAGTATGGAAGGACCATTACCCGAGTAATGAAACGCTGAGCCTCCTCTAATAAAAGAGAAGCGTCATTGATATCGGAACCATCGTCGACTCCAGTAAAACAATCCCTAAAAGGATCCCCTGCACCAGAGCCTACGCCGATATCGGGAGTCTTCAATTCTCGAGATTCTTTCAGCGTCTCCTCAGAAAAAGATGGAAGAGAAGGCGAATCACCCATTGTCATAGCCCCGAGCATATCGCTCGGAGTACTCCGGTCGAGATTCTGGTCTTCAGAAACAACCCCGACAGGCACAACCGCCATTGGCTCGGGAGCTCTGGCAACCTCGATGGCCTCCGTAGATCGGACTACCAAAGCCAAGGAGCTATTTTCTTCTTCTTTTTCTCTCAGTCGATGGACCGAGTTAATCGAAAGGGCAATTGTTTTTCTCTTCACCCTGCGAGTTTTGGGCTTGGGGTCCTCTGACCGAGAGGAAGCTTTTCGCTTCTTATCTTCCCCCTGTTTGGGGACCAGAGACTTGTTTCCTTCTTCACCGCTCGAAGGCCTCAAAGCGGCATCCCTGGTTATGCCTGCACAAGAGGAAATCGGTAACAAATAGAACGCAAAGAATACCTCGAAGGAAACCAGAAGCAAACCTCACTATGGTTCTTGGCCTCCCATCAGCCTTTTGCCAAATCACGCCAAGCGCGCTCGGCGTAAGAGGAGGTCGAGGCCAACTTTCGAACCCAGTCCTCGAGGCCGGGCACCGCTTGTGGCATCCAAGGGGCAGCTGAACATCAGGGAAGGACATCAGAAAAAAATCGAAAAAGCACCTGAAAAGTAAACAAAAATCACTTACGGTCAAAATTCCATTCTTCAGGGAACGACATCTTCTCCTCTGGAATGAGATCACGGGTCCTCACTCGGATATAAATACCCATCCAACCTCGATCCTTGTCTTCATCGATGCTCGACATCAATGCCTTCGATGCCCGACGATGAAGTATGATTAGTCCTCGAAAGATCTGAGGTCGGTACAGTCGTATGAGATGGTTCAGAGAAAAATCCACCCCCCGACTTTGATAGAGAAGAAGCGCAATAAGATCACTATACGCCATAAAGAGGGATGGATTTGGCCAAGGGTGACTTGATACCTTTTGCAGAAATCAATAATCACCGGGTCGGCGGGTCCTAGTGTGAAGGGATAAGTGTAAACACTTAAAAACCCTTCCACGTGAGTGGTAACATTCTCATCGGAAGACGGAATTTGCAACACGACCTCGGAACCCCAGTTGCAGTCTTTTCTGACGGCCTCAAGGTGATCCTCCGTTATAGAGCATGTATACATCGATACGTGTTCACATCGACCCGGAACGGAGTAAGGGTTCTCCACCTTAAAATCGGTTTTCAAAATGCATGGGCCAGGAACATAGTCATGAACTGACGGCTCCACCGGCACCTTATCATCAGACGGCCGTGAGGAAGAGGCTTTTTCCTTCTGAGGTACGTTTTTGAAAGTTTTCGCCATTGATATGAAAGG